GAAAAAACCACACTATATATCTGTCTTCAACTGTCTCTATCTGCTTCTTCTTGATCGATCAACTTTTTTTTTCTTTTTTCTGTTCCGTTTACGGATAAGCAGATAACAAAAGGGTAAGTTCCTATCAATGCTATCTGAATAGTAAAGAGAGATTGTTTTATGCTAAAAAATTGAAACATTATTAGTGTATTATTAAATTATTTTTGTGTTTTCTTTATTTCAATAATAATAATTAATATAAAAAAAAAAAACAAGAAAAATGAATATTACATTTAAATATACACAATAGGACATTGATCATAGGGAGAGAATATGTATTTATTACGCCTACGATAATAACAAAGAATATGAAATATACATAGAGAAACAAGGAATACATAAATAGCTAGATATCGATGCTTCTGTTTCATATGTTAAGAACAACTATCAGTGTCAAGAATACATACTGCACACTTAAATACTGACACAAAACACATAGTTTTCTTATTATAGTATATTTCTTCAAGAATTGGCCGTTTTATAGCAATATTGATACCAGAAATAGACGTAACGAACAGGTAATTGCAGTAAGTTTCACGAAAAACATAATATTCTTTGTTTAAGATGCAACTAACTAATCTTTCGATTTAATATTAGTATCGTTAGAAGCATAATGAGATGCATGTTGTTCTTTAATTATATATAAAAAGAAGAGTTAATTGCTAAAACAGTTCTTATCCAATGAAGAAATTAATTGAAATTAATCAAAATACAAAGTGACACTGCTTTTTTTTAATTAGATAACTCTTAGATTGTAAAAACTAATTGGATATTTCATTCCTAATAACATAATACAAGCAGAAAAATGACAATATCCACTAGTTCGACATCGAATTAAAAATTCTTCCCACGTAAGGGTCGCCTAAGTGCAAACTGTATGTTTCATGTAAACAAAATGCTTATTTTAGTACATGAAAGCTTTGATAAGATATCCTAGAATAGTAAGACTTATCGTATTGAAAATCATATAGTAACATCTCTTGACATCTAAAAGTCAATGAAAATTGATTATTATATAATCAAGAAATAATCCTTTGTACATGAACTATAGAAGTGTCGAACAAGGTAACTTCATATTACCAACGTAAATGATTGATTGATATCTATTCATTTATGACTAGTGGCCTAAACATAAGAAATCCTATTGTCTAGTTTCCAAGGTTGAGTCATCATATGTCGTAGGAATTTTAATCAAACAGTAAATATGCAAAAAATGGTAAACATTAATGTAATCGTTCTACTCAATTATATGAGATAATTCATGAACTCTTTTGTTCACGTTCAGTAGACAGTTTAGTATAAATAACTTGCGTAAAACTTCAATATAAAAGTACTTCTGCTAAGTTACTAGGATATTTTATAAAAGAAAAAATTGTTATGTATTTTGAATTATCTATGAAATATACATAATTGATTACTGTACATCTCAGATAAACAGTCTCAATAATGATGACATCGATGTTTATTCTTTTTTGTTTTGTTTTTTCAAATTATATATCGAACGTTTAATTCGAAATCTTCAAAACTAGCCGTTTCTTTTATACATAACAAATAGATTCTCATGTTGAAATGATCAATATTAAGAAAAATTTTACCAATCTACAATTTTTATTCGTAGTACTGAACTCTTTTAGCAAAGCTGACATAGTAAGAGGAGACAAAACTGAAATAAGATTCTTCTAAATTTTCTATTAATTTGTCCAAAAAAAAACAAAAACGACCGAGACAATGAAAAATATCCAAAATATTACTTTTGTGATAATTATTATGATAAATCTCATTTGCTAAACCTACGCATTGTTTTTTAACTGTTGTTTTCTGCTTAAATTCTTAAATTTTAAGAAAATACTTCATATCAAGATAGAAAATGTTGAAAAAAAATCAGACTTTCTGAATGAATGATTGTTTTTATTTAAAATTAATTTAAAAAGATAGAAAAAGAAAAGCTCAGCTTCTATCGATCTTCTGATATAGTCAGTTTCTATTAATGTTCATGCGTTGTCTATACATGATCGAGTTTTGTCGAGAATGTAAATCTTATAAAACTTAGCTACTGAACATACCAATAATAAATATTGTACTATAAATAATTAGAATCAATCGAATTGTTTTTGTCGAGATGATTATATTTACATCTAAAATAAATACAAGAAAATTATTTGTTACATAAGATTTAGTTTCAATTACTTACTCATATCTTAACGATTGAGACTTACTTGTGTCTTTCGTCGATTTCTTCTTTAAAAAGAATATCATGTCTTCCTTGAGAAAAGCATCTATATCTAAATGTGTATAACAGAAGTTACCTATCCTATGATAAATTATGTTCTTATGTCCAACAGATAGACCTTGTAAATAAGAAATGGTTTCGTAAGTTATTATGCCTATTGAGTGTTATTCCAAGGTGATGATTTTTTGACAATGATTAAGAGTTATTGCGAGCTATTCAATATATAACTATAATAGTGATTTTCTTCTTTTCGGTACATTTACACAAAAGAAATATTGCTATTTGATTCTTTAAAAAATATATGTTGAAAATTAAGCACAGCAAATACCTAATCGATGTTTTCATTCAACACAAAAAAAAAAAGAAATACTTCAATAAAACATCTACTAGCTGTGATCAATCTGTAGAGATAAAAAGAGAAGATTACAAGAAATTTTCAAAAAAAAAATTATTGTCGAAATTCATAAAAGATAGTTATCAATTTTTTTTTTATTACATACGCTCCTTATTCAGCATCTTACATTATTCAATTTAGATGTATTCTCTCGTGGATCTATTGAACTCAAGATAATCGTGTACTGAATAAGTTGTCAGCAAGGTACTCTTTCACTAATGTAACACAAGATCTTGAATACATATCCTGCTGAGCATTATCTCAGTGCATGAATGCTTCCCAAATACTTGTCCAGTTTGGATACCAGTCTATGAAAAATTTTTCAATAAGTTATTAGATTGAGCATTAAGAAGCATTTTTTATTTGAGTGCTGCAAACTTATAAAGTAACTAAAGGTTTATGTTACATACTGGTCGTGGGAGTAAACGTGCAGGTACCTAAATTCAGTATATTCATCGAGATTCTGTGGCAATGTGTTATAGTGATGAATATCTATAGAAAGAAATATTAAGTTTTAACATAGAATTTCATCATATTTTTCTTTCCAAGATATGTTTGAATTTTTTTGACTAAGAAAAGTACATTTTTTTCGATTATTTGAATATTCTATTAACCTTTGTACTTTTATTTTAGTTGTTTCAAGTAAGCGAACGTTTACGAAAAAGTCCGGTGCAGTGACTAGCAATATCGACAAACGATATAATCCAATTAATCAAGAAGAACAAGATTCATCATCAAGTAGTGATGATTTAAAAACAATGACTGAGGTTTGTTACAAAAATATTCTATATATAGAAGCATATCATCGGATAAATATAAACAAGAAATTGAATAGTAGAGTAGGCGGATAACGATAATATTTCCTATCTTGTCGTGTCAGTTGTCAGTTACGATTAAGAGGAAAAAAAATGGAAGAAAAAAAGAAAGATAACCAGCAAGAATTTTTATGGTTGACAATTAACTGATGTGTTGATATATATGATAGTGTGTTATTAAAAGCACAGTTACTCTACATATGGTAAACATCTATTTGATGATTCATTCAAATACTCTAGTATCAATGAGCTTTTTATATAGACATCATCTTTACTGAACGATATAAATATAATACAAAAAACAAAAAATTTTCATATCGGAATAAAATCAAATACAAAAATAAAATTGAATAACATCTTTTTTTCTAGGAAGCTGAAGTATATTATGCTAATTCTGACTATGTCCCAACACGTCCTGATGGGATTGCACTTGCTGAAAATCAACTTGTCGATGTGCTCGATTCACATGATCCCGTACAATATCTGGTTCGCACTCGACCACGTAAAGATGAACGACCAAAAATTGGTTGGGTTGATGCATGTTTTCTTGAGAAGAAGTCAACCAATATAGGACAGGTTAGTAGATCAATGGTCTCATTCTATTTTTTTTCTATTACTCACTCATATCACTGCTGCCATTGGTATTGCTGTTGTTGTTGTTGTTGTTGCTGTCAATACTGCTAGTATATCCGCATTCTTTCTATGCGTTAATAGCAAAATGATATCCAGTGACTCGAAAAAAGATAACTATGGACACTAAGCACATCTATTACTTGTCGATATTTAGCGCGCAATATATATGCATACATAATATGGTACGTGCGCATCAGGAAATAATGGATCAATAGCCCATCGTTGATGTATGTTTCATCACGTATTTATCTTTCTTCGTTTCGATTAGATGATAAACAAGTGGTGGAGACAGAATAGCAAGCGAGAAGGGAACATGACATTTTCTGCAGGCATTCACTAAGCAAGCTAACGTACGATAGATCGTTTTTCTCTTAACTGTACACAACTTCTATATAACGAACCTGCTCTTTATCTGTGGACAAGCAATAGAGAAAGATAGAAAGAAACCATATTAACGGCAATAGAAAACAGAGAGAAGAAATAAAAGCAACGAAGCAACAGCCGATGATGTGACAAAGATGTTGGTAGAGAATGATGCGCCTGCTGTCGTTGTTGATGTTGTTATTCTTATACCTGATATAGCTTTCTCTCTTGCTTTTCTTGCTCTTCTTCTTTTCATAAGAATTTCTTGTCTGAAACATATATACGCGTTTGATTATTGCTATCGTCATTTTGAGGTTGCGTAAGGAAGAAGCATTTGTATTAGTCGACAGGAGAAAAGGGGGTGGTTAGTATTGATATAAGACTGTTGTCTTCATCGTCTTCATCTTAGTCGTTGTCGTTGTCGTACACAGATAAAATAGTTAAGTTAAAAACAACAAATAAAAGGAAACAAAAATAGCAAAACAGTCCATATTCGGAAGTTTTTTTCGTCCCATAATCTATATTAATGTCGTCGCCAACGTGGAATCCAGCTAGCTTATCATCATTCATATTCGACCGAAATCGATATCGACGTAGTGCAAGTGAGCAAACGCATACAGTAACAACGCGTGAATATCGTAGTTATCGAAGAACGGAATCACCTTGTCCACATCACAGTTATTGTGAATATTGTCCTTGCATAAATTGTCGTCGCTATCGTCAACCATCCTATCGACATCATATGAGTCGGCGTCAAACATCAAGTTTTACGCCAGAGGGGCGTAAAGAGTTTTATTCTAGCGCTCACTCTATACGAGATGAAATACGGCGAGGTAGTCCAACCGGTATTGGAATATCACTAAATTCATTTCGTCAGCTTTCACCACAAACTGAATATCAGCAGCGACAGCAGCGGCGTCGACAGCAACAACAACAACAATATCAACAACAACAACAAACTTATCAGCCTCATCATTTTCATGATTATAATGAATATGAACGGCAACGACAAGAACGTTTGTTACAGATCAATCGGCGCAGCACACGTGAAGTTCAACCAAGTGATCAATCTGTACCAAGTGCTACTAGCACTAGTCGATATGACGAGGCTGTCATCAAGCGAAGGTAATTATTATCGTATTTGTTCGCAAAATTTCCTATCAGTTAGAATATATTGATCCAACCAGCAGGAAATGCTAGTAGTTCTCAATGAGATAAAAACAAATCATAAATACTATGTATGTTTCTTCTAGTTTATCATAAATAATAAAAGAAATATTCTGTAATCTTGAATACTATAGCTAAATCTAAAACAGTTGCTTTGCAACATAAAGATATAAAAATAATCAATATCCATCTTTATCCAACGTTTTTCTTTTTGTTTGATAGATTAGTAATGTTATTGTTAAGCTAGATTACATAATCAATTTATATATTTGTCTTGATTAGTTAATCAAGGTTAAGCCTGAAAATACTGAATAAACTCAACAAATCTAAATATTGTAATAATAGCCTTTAGTAGTAATACAACATGTTAAAATGGGAATCTACTAGCAGACAAAACAAAATTTGCTTTTATCTAAATATTCTGCAAGATAAAACTATCCTTGAAACATTTGTTCTTCATTTGTATCCGAATATCTTCAAACAAATTTATCTTTTTCGACTTGAGGCAAAAAAACAAAACATAACAACATTCTTGTTACAAATGGGAAAACAACTTAGTATTTTATGTAATAAAAAATCATAGTAGAACTACTGTTTTTTTCGTAATTAAGTGATAAAATAAACATGTCTATTTTTCTCGTTCTCAAAGTAGAATATTCTATGTTGTTGTTATAAGACTGATACGTATAAGTGGTTTTTATACTTAAAAACTAATATTGCTATATCATCTATGAAAAATCTACTGAAAGCATATTTTTATTGCTTGAAAGTATAGGATAAGCATGATAATTTGATAAGGAAAATTGATCATTTGTCTTTTAAGAAATGATAGATATGACATAAGATGTCTAATGTTTATTTTTATTAATCATCAGATATGCCTTCGCTGACGTCCTCGAGAGCGAACGCTCATATGTTGCTGATCTTCAACGTATTATTGAAATTTATCTATATGAATTAACTCGTCAAGAATGCCCGTGGTTCGTCAAAGAAAAAAAAGATCTTTTATTTAGCAACATCGAAGACATATTCGCATTCCATAAAGTGTATGTATTAAACATAATAAAGTCAACAAAAAAAAAAAACAAATAAATGAAATTTTCTTTGTTTTTCTAAAGATTATTCTTGAATGATTTAACTAATGTTATTGAACATGATCCAAAGGAATTGGCTTATGTGTTTTTACGTCGACGAGATCAATTCTTAAATCTTTATTCTCAGTATATGTATGATCGTGCACGATCTGAACATGTACTACAAACAAATCCAAATATTCAACGTTATTTTGATGAATTAACACAACGATTAGGTTTACAAACAAGTGATTTAACACTTAATAACTTACTTAATCGACCTATACAACGACTTGAAAAATATAGAAATATTTTACAAGTAAAATTAAATTAGAAAAAGAATGTTATTTTTTTTCTTTTGAATATTTTATTATTCTAGGAGATGATTAAATATACACATCGTATGCACGAAGATAGTACAATATTTCAACAAGCTTATACAATGATAAGCAATGTTATAAATGATGCCCGACAACGTGATGCAACTGAACTTATTGATAACTTACCATTTACAAATGAACAATTAGGAGATTTAAAACGCCATGATGTTGTCTTAATTAAAACAACAGAACATGATCCTGATTCAGTCAATGAAACCGGTACACGTTTACGTGAAAGATTTTTATATTTATATCGACATAAAATTATTTTATGCCGACGTAAACGTGCTGATAGTCGATTAGAAGCAAAATCATTAGCATTCAAACAATCATATAATGTAAATAAACCAAGAATTTATTTTCTTTTTCAAACAATTTTTTTTTGTTTTAATTTTTCTTTTTTAGACAAATGAAATAACTTTTATTCAAGAGAACTTTCCTGATGATGATAAAAAATTTGAAATAACATTTAATGATAATGAACGTGTTACATTTTATGCTCGAAATGCTTTTTCAAAAATGTCTTTAGTTAGATCATTAAGAGATAATCTTAAATCTCTTGGTAAGCTTATTATTTTACTAAGTGTGGGTGTAGGTTACTGGACAGAAGAATCATATCCACACCCATACACACCACACCCACACCTATCTACACCCACACCTATCTATACTCACACCCACCTACACCCACACCCACATCCACACCCACATCAACATCCACACTCATCCACACCCCACCCTACCCGATATATTTGTACTGACTCCGATACACCTGTATGTATTGTTGATTGCTTCAAAGACTACCATACAAAGATGAACTACTAATGATTTTTTGACACAAAAATGTAATTTCTTCGTAAAGAAATAAAGATCATAATTAAAAATTTCATGAAAAATGTCGAGTTTCGAAAAAAAAAGCCGGGACTCAAAGAATTAAAATTAACATTAAAATTTTTATTCTTATCAAAAAATAAGACTTTATATACATTCGCATAGAAAAATCTTCTTCTCTTCTTCTAGAAGAGTTGATCAGTTTCTCGTTCATAATTCAGATCATATGAATGAAAGAACTATTCGAACAGATTAGTTAAGATCAAAGAATATTTTCAACAATTCCTCAGATGTGAATTTGTCGATCTCTACTTCTTTTCTTAATAAACTTTAAACTTGAAAATAGTTTTTTGAATAAAAATTATTTTTCGAATAGGTTTTGTTGAAGAAATTGAAATGATTGAAACAACTGAAACTGAAGATGATACACAACAAAAACGTTCGACAACAAAAAAACGTTCGGTAGACGTTTTAGAATCAACAGTAAATTTCAATTAATATTGTTTATTCTTGTAATAATTAATGAAATTTTTTTATTGAAGACATTGGAACAACAAAAACGTGGTCGTTCATCAGGACAGGCAACATCTGGTACATCAGATTTTTATTCAGTTGGAAGTGAAACGGAATCAAGTTATCAAACAGCCGGAGAAAATGAAGATTTTAAACCAAAATTTTTGAAAAAATTAAATGACACCTTAGCTACAGGTCTGATTTCTTTAAATGTAATGGTATAATCAGAAACAAGAATTAGTGTGAAAAACAGAATTCAACTCTTCTAGTTTCTATCTGATTACACCACTATTTAAAAGAGAGAATTTCAAATAAAAATTTAATTATTTTCTATGATTTTAGAGGGTGACTTTGTCACATTAGAATGTATCGTTGTTAGTACAACACCAGTACATGCTACATGGTTCAAAAATAATATTCCTTTACAAGATAATGCTGATTGTCGATTAATACAAGATGATAAAACTTTTCAATTAGTTATTAAAGTATGTCAAAATTATTTTAATGAAAAAAAAAATCATTTCATTTGTATTTTAGGAAGCTTTTGTCGAAGATGGAGGAGTTTATTCAATTAAAATTTCAAATCATGCCGGAACAGTTATTTGTAGTTGTAAATTATTTGTACGAGAAGGTAATTAATACAATTTGATTAAAACTTTCAATATATATATATAATGTCGTTTAAATTAGAAATGAGTGATGAACGAACAATACGAGACGATTTAGTTATTCGAGAAGGTTCATCACCTGAAGCTAAAAGAGGTCTGATAAAAGTTTAATTAAACTTTCATCATAATATTTTTCTTTTATTTAAAGACACTACTGATAATGAAGAAGAATTACGTATAACAGAAATGACATATGATCAAGCTGGTGCATATAAAGTAACACCACATATTGGTCGAGCACCAATTTTTCTTCAATCTCTTATGCCAATTATTTCTAAAGCTGGAGATATTGTTACATTGAAATGTACTGCTACAGCAACGCCTATGCCAACTGCTGTTTGGTTAATATCAATATAGATTTCAATTATCTAAAACTTAATGTATTATTTTTTTTTTAATAATTTTAGGTATAAAAATGGTCAAGAAATTCAACCAGGTGGTCGTTATTCAATATTTCAAGATCAAAATGGTACTCATTCATTAGTTATATCGGATACTTTACCACAAGATTCAGGTTCATATGAAATTACTATAAGAAATCAATATGGTACAGCAAATTCAAAAACAAATTTACAAATTCTTGGTTTGTTATCTTTGTTTATTATTATTATTTTTCATTTTTTGTTTTGAATGAATTTTATATAGAACGTGAAAGTGTTTTTATTCCAATTCCAATAACTCGTGTATCAACACAAGAAAATGCAACAGCTAAATTATCATGTGCAGTTAAACGTCCCGATGTATATGTTGATTGGTATAAAGATGAACAAGCATTATTTACCGAAAAACAACAAGAAAATCATAAATATAAACGTATTGATGATGGTTTAGAAAGAGAATTAATTGTTAAAAATGTATCACCAGATGATCAAGGAGATTATGTTTGTCAAGCAGATAAATATCGAGTTACACTTCATCTTAATGTTCAAGGTTAATATCTAAAGGAAAAATAAGAAATGTGCAGAAAATTTCTAGACAAATTACTTCACTAGTTTTTGTGTACTTAAGGGATTTTCTCTTCTTTTACGGATATTAAAATCAAAATTTTTTTTCGATTTTTAGTAATTACTTTTACTAAACTCGACTCTTGAAACTTCTGGCAGAAAAAACTCGCACTGAATGTATTTTTTGTAAAAAAAAAAAGTTCTTCTAATAATAATGATTATTCTCATTTCAAACGTTCTAAGAGTATGAGTCACAAGTTTTTTAATACCACTAGTTGTCGATCAATTTAATTAAGGAAAAAAGTCCTAATAAATACAGGAAAAATTGTTTTCTACTTTTGAAAAATACTTTTTTCTGTAACTTTTTGACTAGTAAATTATAAGTAAATCTTTCCAGAACTCAAAAACAAAATTCTGAAGATAAATCTGTTTCATGTAGACATTATATTAATTCTGTAAAATATATAGAGCTTGTGGATGATTACTACTCTATAGAATGACGAAAGAATAGAAAACTATAGTTAAGTTTGAAACAAAAATTATTTTCTGTATTTTTCAACCTATTCAATAAAATCTTTTGACATAACTTCAACAAGTTCTATTTTAGGTTTTCTTCCTTAAAAAAGTTTTTTGTTTTTGAGTCTTTTCAAGATTCATTTACAGTTCAATAGTCAAAAGTCACAACAAAACTTTGACCATATATATTCTGAAATAACATAAATTTCTCATGGTAATACACTACCTATACATTTAAATACGAGAATAATAGTCAAATAGTTTGTCTAGAAAAGTTCGGCTTATCTCTAATCTATATATAAAAAATAATGCTCTAATAAAAAAATTCTTGTTTTTTTTTCTTGTTTCAAGGACCTGCTGCTGAATTTGTACGTCCACTTGAAAATATTGAAGTAACAGAAAATAATGAAGCTGTTTTTGAATGTCAATTATCAAAAGAAGATGCTCAAGTTGAATGGTGGTTTCGTGGAGCGTCAATTGTACCATCACAACATCATTTAATTGCATCACGTGGTTATATTCGTCAATTGATTATACCAAAAGTTGCTATGAATGATGAAGGTGAATATTCAATACGTGTCGATAATAAAAATACATCAACTGCTCAATTATTTGTCAAAGGTAAATCGAAAAAAGATATTTGTTTTTTTCAATATTCTAATATTTTATCTTTCGAAATATTTTTATTTCTAGAACAACCGATTATATTTCGTCGTCCTTTACGTTCACAAATTGTTGAAGAAAGTTCTTTAACAGTATCTAATAATGCTGTTTTTGAATGTGAACTTAATAAACCATTAAAACAAATGTTATGGTTTAAATCTAATGTTCAACATTTAGTTCCATCAGATAAATATCAAATAGAATCATTTGCAAATGGTCATATTCATCGATTAACTATTCGTAATGTTAATTTACGTGATGATGGAGAATATACAGCATCAACTGGATTAAATACATCACAAGCTCGACTTACTGTTGAACCACTATTACCACTTTTTATTGTACCATTAATGGATGCACGTGCTAATACACGTGAAACTGTTAAATTATCTTGTGAAACTAGTCATCCTTGTCAAGTTGTATGGATGCATCGTGGAAAGAAAATTATTGAAAATAGTTACAAATATACAATAGGTAATTATAGTATATAACTATACTTCTGATGGAAAAATAGCAGAGATTTCAGTTTTGTAAAGTCTCTAAGCTATAGATTTTAATACACAGTGAATACCAAAATTATTCAATCAGTTTGTAACTGGTAGAAAGAATCCAGATAGTGATTCGAATAGATAAAATGTTTTTCACTAAAAAGAACCAAGAAATAAGAATTATTATCTAATTCGCTAAACTTGGAATTCCAGGAGACTAAAACCCTAGCTTTTCAACCCCTAGAACGCATCAATATAATTTTGTTTAGACTACATAGAAGGATAAAGTAAACAATACTCTACGAAATGACACATCTCCGAGTTCTCTATGGACCTTTTTTGGCTAAGAGGCAGTAATCTGGTTGAAAGCCAAAAAAATGGCTTTTTGTATTGGAAATTGGAAAAAAAATGACTTTAGGGACTGCCATAAGACTGCTATATTTTAACTAAAAAGCATCGCAAAGAACTTGAAGACATCTCGGCTTATAGAAGATTGTTTACTCTATTGTTCTACGTAATCTAAATAAACTTGTATTTACACGCTCCAGATGTTGAAATACTAGAGTTTGAATTTTTTTAGAATTTCCATTTTTGTGAATCTTTGAACCTGTATCGGACTATAATTTCAACAGAACTTGTTAGTCTAAATCGAAGAGACTCTCCGAAATCTACGACTAACACATCTTGCACATGCCTTAGACAATTTTGACAATGATCTTATAATAATCAAATCATTATTGGCTTTTACTTTAGGAGTATGGCTCGTTGATTAGATCCTGAATCCGGTCGGGACTCAGTCAGGGACAATGCGACGGGTTCTATTTGTAATATATGATAGATGAGTGGGAGAGGGGCTAATTCAAATTTGATGATATATTATCGTCATAAGTATAATACCATACTGTAATCAATTATCGATAATCGTCTCTTACGATATAAGATATTAATAGTCTAAGTCATCTATTTGATCTATTGCAATTGTATTCTAATTAAAAAGACAGATACTAATTTTTAGCAGATATGATATCTTGAACATAAAAAGTTATTTCAAATCTTCGATATGATTGAAATAATTAACAAAATAAAAGTCTTTTTATAAAAACCTTTTGTGATTGAGTTTACTTGGAACTTTTGGAATATCTATCTATCTATATATATATGTATTAAATAAACTATGTTTTTAATAAAAACATTTCTTCTTAGGAAACTTTAATAATTCAACATTACATACTCTTGATATTGATAATTTGGACTTGCGTGATCAAGGTGAAGTTTTATGTTCCATAGCGCAACATCCATCTGTCTCAACAACATGTCAATTACTCGTTGAAGATGCTCAACAAAAATGTAAAACAAAACTGTTTTTTTCTTTTTTACTTTTCATATAAAAATAAAATATTTTATTTGAATATTTTAGCGGCCTTTTTTGCACCATTAAAACCATTTATGGAATTTGTTCGTGGTCAAGATGCAACACTTGAATGTGAAACATATGAAACAACATATTTTCAATGGTTTAAAGATGGTACAACATTAATGACAACAAGTAATAAATATCGAACAGTCAGTGATGATAAACATTCAACTTTAATTATAAAACAATTTACTGAATATGATGAAGGTAATATTGAATAGAGAATGTTTCAAATTTTTATTAGAGAAATTCTTTCTAATTCAAGGTGTTTATACATGTGTAACACGAGAAGGACAATCAACATCGACAACAATTCGAACAGTTACTCAACATGAACGAACACCACGAAGTGAAGAACGTTTTGGTTCATATATGAAAATTGAGTCACCACGTGCAAGTCGAACACCTGAATTAGGTGGTTATCGTTCAAGTTTGAGTCCAACAGCTCCTCATTATATTCCATCATTAGGTGGTGATGATGAACGTCATAGATCACCACGTTTTGAAGAAACACGACGTACAAAAAAGATTACAATACAGGAAACAAGTGAACAACGATTATCTTCAGGACATAGACCAAGTAAAATAGAAAAAATACATTATATCAATTTAAATTTATTAAAACAAAATTTTTTCGTTTTGTTTTAGGTGGAACAACATTTCGTCCAAGTGCAAGTCCAAGTCCACAACGTGAATATATTCGTAGTGGTTATTCATCAGGAACAAGTCCTGAAAGAGAACATCCATCAATGCCACGTCATTTCTCACCATCAACAACAACATACAAATCATCAAGTCAATTACAAGATTTTGGTCATTATATTGATCGTAGTTCACAATCTCCATCACCATCACCAACACGTAAAACAAGTATTACATTTACAAATGTTAATCCATCAGCAAAAATGCCGCCTGTCTATGAAGAACAAGATGAACATCAACGACATCGTTCATCTGTTACATTTTCACCAAGTCGATCACCAGCTCGACAACCACCATCACGTTTATCAACATCAGCTGAACGAAGAGTTGTTGAAATGCAAATACCAATAAGGTAATTTCATTGATTTATATAATGCAAATAAAAGAAAAAATAACCTAACATTTCTTTATTTAGCCCATCTGTATCACGTCAGGAATTAAAACATGCACCATATCGTGAAGAATCTATACCGGAAGAACGTATACAGTTTCTTGATAGTGAAACATATGATAAACAGACACCAATATTTCAACGTGAAGAACCATATGGTTTAAGTACATCACGTATAAATATAACTGAAACATTACCAATGATACAAATAACTCAACCATTAGTTGATACACGTGTTGAACAAGGTAAACCATTACGACTTGTTGTTGAAACATCTCAACCATCAAGTGAAGCTGTTTGGTTTAAAACTGATATTTATTCAACAGCACCTAATCAAGCTAAAAAACTTGATGAAAATGGAAAATATCATATGATAACACAAGGTACAAGACATATTCTTATTGTACCAAATGCAACAGTTGATGATAACGGTGAATATATATGTCGAATACAAAATGCTATGACTCGTGCTCAAGTACAAGTAACTAATGAAGATTTACAATTTATTCGACGTTTACCACAATCAATTGATGTTATTGGTGGACGTGATATTATTATTGAATGTGAAATGAATAAAATGGATACACAAGCTATATGGAAAAAAGATAATGAATTTATTCGAGTAAATATATAATAAAGAAAAAAAAAAATTTGTTTATTTTCTAAAATATTTTATTTTAGACTCCTCAAAAATTTATTCCAGTATCAGAAAATAAGAAACATAAATTAATTATTAAAGATGCAAGTAGTGAAGATTCAGGTCTTTATACAGTTATTGTTAATGAACTTGAATCAACAACATATGTTAATGTAACACCTGAACCATTACTTATATTAAAACCACTTCAAGATCAACGTGTACATTCAGGTGATAAAGTTACATTTACATGTGTTTGTTCAAAAGCACCTAAAACTGTTCAATGGTATATAAATGGTTATCCATTACCAATTAATGAACATTATCAAACAAGATTAGTTGATCGTGAAATACAATTAACAATAGATAATGTACAAGAATCTGATATTGGAACAATAACATGTTGTTTAAATAATACAATAACAACAGCTAATTTAACATTAGATGATAAAGATAAAACATTGAAATTTATTAAACTATTAGAAGATGATGATACAGGAAATATTCAAGTTGATTCACCATTTATGCTTGAATGTCGAACAAATCGACCAACATATCAAATTCGATGGTTTAAAGATAATAGAGAAATTAGTCAATATGATCAAATTATGAAAACAATATCTGATGGATGTACACATGTACTTCAAGTAAGTTTTTAAAAATTATCTTAAAATTCTTTTTAGATTCTTTATTTGTAGTTAAATAGAATCATAGAATTGAATGCTCGTCTTTTACTAACGAAGAAACTAGTTAATGTGATTTCAACCCATATTTTGAGCATTTAGAGACAATTTCTAGACTAGATCGCTTAAAAATAAATTTTTATTCATTGATCATCTTGATGGATTACAAGTTTTACTGAATTTTTCTATAGGATGGTTCATTGATCAGGAAATAAAACAAAAGATTTTGTTTTTATTTAGAATTTGGTCTGTCAATAAATTTCATGCTGTTAAGAATATCTTAGATGTTTCAATCAAAATGAAAGAGTCTTCCTAAAGAGTTTCAACATTCAAAAACTTCAGATTTTTTTTGACTGTCTCTGAAATCCAATTCTAAGTTTATTCAATGTTGAATATCATTTTGATTGAAATATTTAAAAAATTTTTAGGGTCACGAGATTTATTTATAGTCAAAGTTCTAGATAAAAAAAATCCTTTACTTTATGGTCGTGTCAATCATCTATTCTATAAGACAAATACAACAAAACGATTATAATTCTGTAGAGCAGATCAATAGTCTGAGTTTCTTTTAGAATTATTTTAGCTTAGATATTCTCTTTATATACCGAAAATCTGAAGAAAAAAACTAATGAATTACTTCGAATAATTCTTTCATAAATAACTTATTTGTAAGGAAACTAAAGAATATGAAAATATAGTGAATTTCATTAGAATAAAGTGTTTTTTTTTTGTCGATAGTTGGATATATTTCTGGTGGTATATATTTTTTACGAGTCGCATAGAAATACTCCAATACTGTGCGTCAAGGTTAATATTGAAGATCGATCGTTATGAACTGACGTTTAGTTGAATATTCCTCTTATTCTATTCAATTATTGACTTTTATTTTTTTTCATCTTTTGCCAATGAATCTAGTCTATTGATTTCCTTTGATAGATAGACTTTATCTATGAAATGAAGCGTTTCAAATCGCTCAATAATATATTTTCTACTTTTGAATACTAAACTTATCCAGTATTTTGTTGATATCTAAATCTATCCGATGACGAAACCTATTATATGAACACTCATCAATCAGTATCTCAAATAATATCAACGGACACAATACGAGAGATTTGATTTCATAGGATATTATTCTTTAAATACATTAATTAAATCAAGATAAAACTTCACATAAACTTATTTGAGACAAACATTAATCCTAATTGATAATTTAGAAATTAATTTTCTTTTTTTTTCAAAAGATTTCTCGTGCTCAACCTGAACACACCGGTCGATATCGTTGTGTTGTTGCCGATTCTCTTGAAACTTCTTGTCATATAACAGTTCGTGAACCTGATTATCGTTTTATTCAATCATTACCTTCAAATATTCAATTTTCACCTGAAACTGATCGATCCTTGACACTCGATGGTACACTTAATCGTAAACCAACACAAATTCAATGGTTTAAAAATAGTATCGAAATCTTTCCATCACAAAAATATGAATTAGTCAATGAACATCATGTTATTGCATTAATTATTCATGATTTATCATCAGATGATCAAGGTTTATATCGTTGTGTTATTGCTAATGGACAAGCAACAAGTGAATGTCAAGTATCAATGAATTTAATGACAGAAAATGATCGCCGTATAATAAAACCATTACAAGATCAAAATATATATGTACATGATACATGTACATTAAATGTTAAATTTCAAGGTGATGCACCTGATGTTAAATGGTATAAAAATGGTCAAGAAATTTATCCAAATAACAAATATCGTTTCGTACAACATGGAAATGAACAAACATTAATTATAGATGATTGTCAATTAGTACATGATCAAGCTTATTATAGTTTACGTCTACCTTCAAATCCAAAACTTGATTTAACATCATGTTATGTTCAAGTTAAAGATAAACATGTTAATATAACAAAACCTCTTGAACCACAACGATGTATTTTAGGACAAGAACAACAAGTTTGTATTGTTATATTCTAATGAAAGAACTCTCCAAACTGATACTCATCGTTTGAGCTCATGTTGGGTTCACAATGGCGTCTCAGTGAGACTAGCAAAAATTCTAAGAGTTCATGCACATTGATCTATGAAGTCGGGTCATGATCATTTTATTGAGTTTTCAATAAAGCTTTAGGTTTTTGCTGAAAAATTACATAATGATATTCTGATCTGAAATTTCGTCCATACACATGTTGAATGATTACTAGAACTTCTTGAAAGAATCAGCCAATAAAAAAAAATTTCCTTTATTCAGATATTGAATTTTCAAAATATGGTCGTTTGCCTGGTCTGAAAGTCATAAAGGATGTTCGGTCTGAAATTAAATAGACCTCATTAACCCCTATAAAAAGTCTTGTTCCTTTAAATAGTTGTTACATTCCGTCGTGCTGAACAAGGCGACATAGTACTCAATAGAAGGACATGATGCTAAGTAATATGAGTTGAGATCATACACTATAGTTATAGTGTCTTGCCAAGCAGTACGTCTTAATGAGTATGTAATAATGCTCAACATTACAGAGTGTAGGAACTAATTAAAGAAATAAGGTTTTTTATAGAGGTCAATGAAGTTAATTTAAATCCAGGCCGAAATTCCTGTAACTCTACTATTCCATTGAGTTGAACTAACTAAGTACATCATTTTCTTCTTCTTGATTCATAATCACATCATTTTTATTCTTCTTGCTCTTATCAAACTATCGTCATAATAAATATCGTTTAAGAAAAGAGATCGTAACTTACAATAAAGCAGAAAGAATGGGCATGGTCATAAAAATAGACGGCTGGGTACTTATCATACTTCGACTTCAGAGATCAATAGGTAAGAACCATTTCAGAGTTTTTCTAGTCTTATCGAGACCTTCTTGTAAACTCAATATGAGTTTAAACGGCAGATATCTGTTCGGATCGTTCCTACATAAGAAATTTTCGTAATAATATTTTGTTTTATTAGGTTCAATTTGATTGTGAAACAACACCAACAGATAAAAAACCTGTTTGGTTCTTTAATAATCGACAAATTGATAATACATCAAAATATGAATTAGTATCAACAGATAATACACATCATTTATTATTTATTCATCAACCTGAATTATCTGATCAAGGACAATATACAATATCATTTCCTGAAAGTGATCAATCATCAACAGCTAATTTACAAGTTTTACAAACACCATCAACATTAGAATTTATTCAACCACTTGATGAAGTATTTTTGTGTGAAGAAGGTGATAATTTTGTACTTGTTGCACGTACAAATAAACCAACACATGTTAGTTGGATGAAAAATGGTTATAAATTATCAATTAAATCAAAATTAGATTCATTACCAACAAATGAACATCGTTTAACAGTTGAAAAAGCACAAAAACTTGATCATGAAGGTATATATACATGTATTATTGATGCAAATAATGTTGCAACACAATGTCATGTTAAAATTATTGAACGTGAATTACAATTAATTCAACCATTACCTAAACAAATACGTTTAAATGAACATGATACATTAACATTAATATGTGAAACAAATCGTAAACCTAAAAAAGTTCAATGGTTTAAAGATCAATCTAATATACCATTAGAAACAAATAATTCATTAATGATTATTAATGCTGATGAAACATGTACATTAATTATTAATAATGCTAATAAATTTGATTCAGGTATATATACATGTCGTCTTGAAGATCGTTTAATAACTGTTTCGGATGTTAAAATACATGAATCTGCTGCACAATTTGTTGATGGACCACAATCATATCTTGTTTGGAGACGACGAGAAGATGGACCTGTTGTTAATATTAGTTGTACATTAAATAAACCAAATGTACCAGTAAAATGGTTTCGAGAAAATCAAGAAATTCGACCAGAACTTAATAATAAATATGAAATTATTTCTGAAGGTACTATTCAATGTTTATTAATACATGATGCACAAAAAGAAGATTCAAATAAATATGTTATTTCATTGGGATCTACTTATCGTGCATGTCATCTTGATGTTATTGATGATACTGGAATATCAACTGATGAGGAAGGTTTTGATCGTGTTGTACAACCTTTAACGACTCTTCAACGACAAGAAGTTATGGAAGGTTAGTTTAACTTCTATTTATTAATTTCTTTTTTTTTTGCAAAATCTAACTAATCGACTAATTCATCTAAAAGAATAAGTATTAGTATTATCATGATGAGATTGTGGATCTACATCTACGATAACTTAGAAGATTCTGTAACATGAAGTTAAGTTTGTCAATTCTCATTTATTGTTTATGGATGTTCATGATGAAATTAGTTAATCATAAGACGGTTCAATCAGTTTTAAAAGATTGTCAAAGACAGGCATTTTAAATTCAGTTATCTGTCATAATAATTCAGCAGTAAAGTTGAGTTACTTGACTATATCTGTCACGATCTATGATGAACACTGTTGCACTATTAACAAGGGAAGATTCCCAAATGTATGTTCGCTTTTGGATCGAGGCTTGATGTATCTTCAAAATCTTAGTGAACTATGTTTACTATTAAGAGAGTTCATGTTCATGGCTTGTTTCTGAACTAGATCAAATTTTTTCAGTAAATTTCAACGTACTTGAATCCGATTTTATTTACTGACGATCAATGAAAATAATTGATAGTAAACACAAGCAAAATTTTTTTCATTTGAAATATGAAAGAATAGAAATGGTAAATCAGTTATCGGCAGACGTATTAAGATAAAAAAAACTACATCAAAACCAGAAAATAAAGTTCAATATAATCAATCATTCATCTATAGTAATCAGATTTGAACTATGTTATTTTTTTTGCGTATTTCAGGTGATTCTCTAACAATTGAAGTTTCACCTGATAGTGATCTTCAACCATTATCACCAAATCAATTTCGTTTCTTAAAAAATAATCGTCCTATAGTTGGCGATTCTCATATACAATTAGAACGTGATACTTCATCTATTGATTCAAATCGATGGTTAATTCGTTTAGTTGATGTTGATCTTAATGATTCAGGTGTTTATTCAATTGAAATAAATAATCAAATACGACAAGATTTACTTGATTTACATGTTAAAAAACGTCCAATGCAACGACAATTTATAACGTTACCAAAAGATGAATTTTATTTACATGAAACAATAACACTTGAATGTAAATTTGAACGACCAATAAAAACAAAAAATCTTCAACCAACATGGTTTAAAAATGGTCGGCCAATACAACCATCTAATCATTATATAGTTAGTGTTGAAAGTCCAATAAAAGATGGTCCAACAAAATATTCAATAACAATTAAAGATGTTGATTTTACTGATGAAGGTATTTCATTTAGAAATTTTTGTTTTGTCTTTTTCATTGTGTTTGGTTTTTTTTTTGTGTTTCTTTTTTAAGGTGTCTATGAATTACGTAGTGATTATCTTATTGTTGAAACTCCATTTATTCGTATTGTTGAAAGACCAATTCAACCAGCACCTTTACGTACCGTAACTGAAGGTGATAGTCTTCAAATAGATGTTAATATTGATCAAAATGAATATCAACAAATTTCACCAGACGATTTACTTAATCAAATAACAATATTAAAAGATAATCGTGCAATAATAAATAAACCTGAAATAAATAAATGGTTTGATGGTCAACAATTTAAAGTAGAATTAAAAAATTTATCATTAAATGATCGTGGTTTATATGAAATTGATATTCAAGGACAACGTACACCAATATGTTTACTTGATGTTAAAGAACGACAACCAGATGTATTTTTACTTGAATTAGATCGAAATACATTTGAAGAAGGTGAAACAATACGTTTGGCATGTACATTTCCACAACGACCAGGTCCAATAGCAAATTGGTTTAAAGATGGACAATTAATTCATCCACATGATAATATACAATTAACTGATGAAAATAATACATTAACGATTATTATACGTAATGCTAAACGAACTGATTCAGGTGTTTATGAAGTTCGTATTGGTTCAGTTATTGCTCGAGCACCTATGATTCATGTTATACCTAAACAACAATTACAACAACAACAACAACCGGATATACCAGTACAAAATGTTCGAGAAGGTGATACAGTTACATTATCAGTTGAAGGTTTACAAACAAATGTTAGACCACAAGATATTCAATTATTAAAAAATGGAAAACCAATTATGTTTTCACAAAAACCAAAGGTAATTATTTGCAAATGATAAATTACAAAGAATAAAAAATCTCAGTAGATTTTCTTCTCATTCGTTTATATTTATGATTTTATAGAGCTTGATAAGTTAATCACTAATAAAGAGTTTTTATTTCACGAGTCGATTAGTGTTGGATCGAAAAGAAAATCGTAAAAGACTTGAATGGTTGAATATTTAGCATTGGCAAATTGCAAACGCTTCTTGTATTCTTTTTTACAGAAATTATCAAATTTCAATGATGGTATCTTTTCAAACTTTATGAAAACATTTGATCCTAATTGAGCATTCGAAACTGAGTTGAAAAATGTTGTTTGGTTAGATTTAGAATTAAATAAGATTTAAAATATTCTCTCCAATATAGTTATCTTATTCGAATTGTCAAATTGTGAACTACAATAGTACTTAATTAGGTTTTTTTAGATTGCTTTGTGTTGAGAAAATAGGATATTTTTTCATGTGCTGGCAAAATAACAGTATGAAAAATATGCTTGTCTCAACCGATTTCTCTTTCTACGGCTTGGCTGTAAACTGAAATAGATAGTGCATACTTGAAGTCAGTGTCAAAAAACTGCATCAAATCATATATATTTCACATGAGAGGGAGCACTGGTGTATTTCTCATCGGAAACATTCATTACTAAAACACACATGATTCAATGAAGTTTTTGACCTTGATTCTAAATTTGCTGTCGAGTTTGTTTTTTCAGCTGAACCATGGGAATAAAAACTACTTAATACAAGCACATTTTTCATTCTTTCATCTGATTTTGCCATCAAATGTAAAGAAAAATTAAATTTTCTCAAGAGTAAAATAGAAACTAAAAAAACCTAAACAAGTACTTACATAGGTCACAATCTGGTGATTCTAATGAGATAAGACATCTGCTTCTATCTCAACTAGACAAGATTATAAGAATGCTCACAAATGCGTCTTATGATTTTGAATTCCCAGCACCTTCTTTAAATGACTTAATTATATTGTTTAATTATTTGTTTTTCTCTTTTAGACATCAATGAAACGAGAAGATGATAAACTTCGTATTATATTACAAACATTAGCACTTGATGATTCAGCTTTATATAGTGTACAAATTCAAAATGATATTCATCCATTAGCAAAAATTGTTGTTGAACCACGTCAACCTGAAATTCAAGAGATGCAACTTGAACAAGATACATTTTATGTTGGTGATACAGTTACACTTGATTTAGAATTTACAAATGAACCAACAGAACAACCACGTTGGGCAAAAGATAATATTCCACTTCGAAATAATGATCGAGTATCAATAAATAATATTGGAAATCGAGTTACTTTAATCGTACGAGACTTACGATTAGATGATGCTGGTAAGTTAATTGAAATTTAATTGAACAATATCAACCCAACTAAACATATCTTTTCTTTTGTGAAACTCGTATTATTACGCTTTTCGAAGAAAAATATAGTGAGTGTAAGTTTTAAGTAGAGGCTTTGCAGCTCTCGCTTCATAGCAACTGAAAAAACAAGTGTCACACTCCTTTTACAGAGTTGATTGGCTATGGAAAAACGGCGCCTAGTAGCATTAACAATAAAATTTAGAATGGGATAAAAACTTCTAGAACATTTCAAAGCCTTTCATAAAGACTAAACACCAATGAAGGAATAGCAACATAATAAAGAAAACATTTCTTTTCGAAATGTAGAAATAAATAGAAGAGAGGGTCTCTCGAGCGATCAATTATCCTTGAAAACCAACTCTAATCTACTAAAGATATTTTCCTTGATATATTTTGTAGTAATACGATGGCAGAAAGAAGCACTAATGAGTTCCACATGTTAGCCTCAAAAGAGATGCACTAACAAGATTTTTGCATGCTTCTCTATACTGAAATTTCATTTTGAAACAAGAAAAAATTAAAGTCAACCTATCGTTGATAAAAGTTCAATTTTATATTTTGAAATATTAAATTTGTCGAATGTATTTTCATTGAAAAAAAAAGATTAAACAATAAATGATACACGTTATAGAAAAAAAAGAATTTAATTATATGTGAATCTCAAACAGAAAATAAAGATTATTATTTGAGTAGTTTAGATAGTCATAACTATAGTGGCTCATAACATCGCAATAGAATATTAGCCGTATCTTCTATTGTGTTGATTTATTTCAATAATTTTTAATTCGGAAGATCTTTCAAAAAAAAAAACCAAAAAACCATTTTTAAGATTTAAAAAGATGTTTTCAAAGTTTCAAAAACTCAGAAATAATGTTGATCTTAGTGTTTTACAGTTTTCAACTCAATACCTTGAAAACTCAACATATTTTGTGCAACTTTTGTTGAATTGTTTGATCTTTGATTTCAAATCTTCTATATATTTAATAAGTTATTATAAAATCTTTTTTCATAGGTATTTACGAAGTTCAAAGTGGTCCATTAATTGTTCGTACACCACATATAAACGTAATTGAACGTTCACATGATATAACTGAAATTGTTGATGAAACTATAACATATACAATAACACCAAATCGTCCATTACCACCTGTTGAAGCAAAAGTTTGTACAATAAAAGAAGGTGATGATGTTACACTTAAAATAAGTTCACCAACACCAATAACAATAAATGATGTTCAATTATATAAAAATGGTCAACCAATACCAACTGATAATGAAACTCGAAAACATCTTCGTCTTGAACAATTTGGAAATAAAGATGTTCGTTTAACAATAAAAGATGCACGTTTAATTGATACCGGAGAATATAGTGCATTAATTAATGATAATATTCAACCAATAATAAAACTTGATGTTCAACCACGTGATATGCAAATACAAATGATTAATTTACCACAAGATACATTTAATGAAGGTGAAACATTAAAAATTGATTGTCGATTTCCACATTCAAATATAAATACAGATTATCAATGGTATAAAGATAATCAACCATTAATACCAAATGATCGTATTGTAATGAGAAAAGATGCATTTAATGATTCATTAGTTATTGTTAATTTACAACCGACTGATGCTGGTGTTTATGAACTTCGAAGTCGTAATAATATTTTACGTACACCATTAATTAAAGTAATTCCATTAGATAAAAAAATTAATATCGAAGAATTACGACCACAAGTTAGTTCAAAACTTGTTCATGAAGGTAAAAAAAAAATCTTGTTTTTTTATTTCATATTTTGAAAAATTAAATTTTTTTGTTTTTTATTCATTTATTCTATTAGGTGATACGGTTACTTTTGAATTAACACCAAATTTTGATGTACCATTAAATAAAATTGAATTATTTCATGAAGAAAATCCAATAACACATGAACCATATGTTCATATGAAAAAAGACTATAAAACAAATTCAATAACTGTACAAATTGAAGATATTAAAATACCTGATCACGGTTTATACACAGCTATTGTACAAGGCCAATCAGTACCATTAGCTGAATTAATTGTTGAACAGCGACCAACAATCATACAAAATATGGATTTACCAAAAGATGTTTTTTATACAGATGAACGTCTTGAACTTGAATGTGAATTTCCACAAGTACCAAAAGGTGATCAACCAAAATGGTTTAAAAATAATCAACCATTACAATCAACATTAAATGTACATTTAGTAACTGAAAATCAGGGACGAAAACATTCATTAATTATTGATCATTTAAAACCAGAAGATACAGGACAATATGAATTAAGAGTTAAAGGTTTAATTGTTCGTACACCATTAATACGTGTTATACAACGAGAACAACCACAAACTGAAGAACAACCAAGTCCATATATTGTTACTGAAGTGGAAGATAGTCAAGATAAATTTAAACTTAAACCTGAACCACCACAAAGACGAATAAGTAACGTTGTTATTGAAGATATTACTAATCAACCAAGTGCTCCATGTAAGTTTAACAAAAAAAAAGAATTTTTCAGTTTGTTGTTTTTTTTTCATTACACAAAAGAAAGAAAAAACTCTTTCGTACTCGTTTTTTGATTTATTTAGTCAATGACTATCACTTTTTTCGAGCCATTTCTCTTAAATTATGCTCTCATTCCTATGATTTTATAAGATAATTCATTTATAGCTATAGAATATTTAAGTATATTTTCTAGTTCTGATTAGAACAACATTTTTTCTTCTAGTATCGATTTGGTGGAAGTTTTTTTTTTCTTATGGCAACAGTCCCAGGACTAAAGATTGGTTTTCGCATACCTTTAATCTCCACTATAGGAAGTTTTTACTAAATTATTTTTTTCCAACAACAAAACATATCGAAACGCTCTCTATTGATCGATATATTTAATAAGAAAAAAAATCTATAAACAAAAATTGATTTTCGAAGTTGATATATCTCGCTATTTTTTTTTTATTAGCTGAACCAACATCCCGTGAAAATACGCAACGGGTTCAAGAAGGTGATTCCATAAAATTAAAAGTCGTTAGTACATTCGATGTAAAACCAAATCAATTTCGTTTAATACATGATGGTGCACCAGTTGATTTGAAAAAACGTTCATCAATTATTATTGAACGTGTATCAGCTGGTACATATGCTGTATCATTACTTAATCTTCGTGTATCAGATTCAGGTCTATATGAATATCAAATTGAAGGTGCTCCAACACCTAAACATTTAGTTAAACTTTATGTTGAACCACGACCAATAAAAGAAAAAACTCTTCATGTACCACAAACAACATTTAATGTTGGTGAATCAATTTTATTTAAAATTGATTTTGATGAAAAAGATCAAATAACTGAAATACCTAAATGGTATAAAAATGAAATGATTATACCAATTGATACAAGTTCAAGACATAAACAAACTATTGATCGTATTAATCGTACACATACATTTGAAATATATAATTTACAATTAGAAGATAGTGGTGTTTATGAAATGCGTACACCAAATTTAACAGTTAAAACACCTGAAATTAAAATTATACCTCAACCAGTACAAAAACCAGTCGAAGAAGAAATTCGTCCAACACAACAAACTGTTCGACAATCATCTCTTACAATTGATATGAAAAAACCTAAAGAACAATTAGTGTATGTTGAATTCATTTGCTTTTTTCAATATGCGTATAAAAAAAATGTTGTTTTTTTTACTTAAATATTTTTAGTGAATCACGACCAGTCGAAGAATTTCAACTTATTGACGAAAATATACCAATTCATGAAGTAACTGAAGGTGATATGATGCATTTAACCGTTGAAAAACCTTCAACTGTTCATTTATCTGATATAAAATTATTTAAAAATAATCAACCATTAGTATCATCTAAAAATATTCATGTTGAATCAACATCACCAACAACAATTGATATTAAATTTTCACCTGTTGAATTAATTGATACTGGTTTTTATTCAATTAAAATACGTGATCAAATTCAACCAATAATGCAATTAAATGTACGTGAAAAACCTATTCAAAGACAAATTATGAATTTACCACAAGATACTTTTATTGAAAATGAAACATTAACTATTGAATGTAAATTTGATTCGAAACCAGATGCAAAATTTGTTTGGACAAAAGATGGTTCTATTTTATATAATGATTCAAGAATTATTATTAAACAAAAAAATGAAACATTTACATTAATTATTAAAGATTTAAAATTATCTGATCAAGGTGTTTATTCACTTGAAAGTAAATATTTAATATTAGATACACCATTCATTCATATTTTACCAAAACAACAACAACCAACTGTTCAAATTCAACATGATGAAACAGCAGTAACTATGCAGGTTAGATTATAATGACAGATGTTTTTTTTTCGAAAGTATGACCTAAAACGAGTGTTGAAGTATAAAGATAAAAAAATTTGCATACCCTTTAGAGACTATCACAGACACTAGTCAAAGAATATCATCGATCGTGACAGACGTTATTGATATACGATCACTGACCGTTTATTAATAACCTTTCTTTCCAATACATGAGCTATTTCCTTATTGCATTTTGGAAGATTAAATAAAACCAGGATGAAGAAATATGTCGCAAAACAGAAAGAAAAAAAAAACAAACTTCTTGTGATTAGTAATATCAGCTATAGTTTATTTCACATTTTAATCGTACAGGCATTGTGCTGATTATTTTTTGGTAAAGTTAATTATGATATGTTTATTTTAGCCCAGTGTAACAGTTGCTGATAAAGAAGATAAAATTGAAGAAATAAAAATAAAAGAACAACCATTGGAGCAAACTCCGGCACCGACAGCTTTCATTGAATCTGCAAAAAAGAAACCAGATGAAACAATAACGACAACAACAACAGTTGAACAACAACAAGAACCATCAGTTCAAGTTAGTTCATCAGCTGTTAAACCTAAACAACCAACAGAAGATATTAGTGTTCAAACTCAAGTAATATAAGAAGGAATATATTAGATAATTACTGTTTGTTTCCGTTTTTTTAGCAATCAGTTCCAGTTGAGCAAGTTGTTGAAGTCAAAACAACAACTGTTGAAGAAACTCAACCACAACCAACAGTAACTGTCACCGAACAACAAGAACAAATTATTGAACAAGTAATTTTTTATTTTATTTCATTGATTATATATGACTATAAATTCTTTTCTTTTTCAGCCAATTGTTACTCCTGTCGAACAACCAAAACCTTCTGTTGAAACTCAACAAGAAAAAGAACAAGAGCAAGCTGTTAAAACAACGACTCAAGTTGAAGAACAACCCGTCCCACAAGTTACAACCGATGCATTATCAGCTCAACCAAAAACAGAGGAACAAGTAAGTTTAATTTTTCATGTTATGCATTTTTCACTGTGTGCTGTGAATATAACAAAAAAAGCGTTCATCACTATTTCGATATAGTCATTCGTTGTGACTATTATTTACGTAAAAACACATCACTTTTTGTGTTCAATTAAAAAATCTATAAAATAATTGAAGTACAATGCACAAAAGAAAATAATTATTCAATCCTATGGAAACAAACAATTATTTATTTTAGCCGCTTTCGAAAGCTGAAACGATCGTAATTGTTGAAATAAAAAATTCTACTATCGAAAAACCTTTTGAAAACGTATGTTTCTCAAGAAAAAAACCGTTCCTTATTGCTTTATAAGGAGATACACGCATGTTATAAAATACAAAATGAGATACGTGTTCATATTTCCAAGAACAAATATGATTCTCTTTTTTCCAAAACAAAAACATAACATATTTTTAGCCATCCGTTACTTCCGTAATCGAAATTGTTGAAGAAAAAAAATCGATCGAAAAACCACAGACAACTCCAGACGTCATAATTGAAGAAAAAACTACTATCGAGGATCAACACGTATACGAAACCCAACTTCAGATACCTGAAGTTACAAAACATACCGACAAACTGGATGAAAAGGTAAAATTTTCGCTAATGAAAACGATACAATCTTTGAATTCACAAAACTATTTACAGACAATACTTACTACTGATATGACGACTACACAGGAACAAATAAGTCCTGCCGTGACTACTGAACAAGAAGTAATACAAACTGAAAAACCACAATCTATAGTAACAACGGAAAAGCAGATTGAAACAGTAGAGAAAAGGCCTGAAGTTGAAAAGCCGATAGTTGAACAAACCATAACCAAAGCAGAGGAAACAACAATAACAAGAGACATTACTCCTCTCATAGAAGACATTACTAAAGAACGAAGACCTATCGCAGAACAACCAACAGTATCTGAACAAGCTGTAACAGTTACTGAAGAAATACAACAAAAGGAAAAAGCACCCGCCGAAGAACAACCAAAAGAAGAAACTTCAAAACCATCACAGACAGTGGTAGAAGAAACCACTACTATTGTACAACACGACACTATTGTTGAAGAAGATAAACCAGCGAAAATTGAATCAACGACAGAAGTGACTAAAGTCGAAGAGACACTCCCTGAAGTGTCAATTACGACAGTTCAAAAACAAATGAAGCGTGTTGAAGAACAGCAGTTAACTTCTATTGAAAAGCCAACCTTTGAGCAAACTATCACAACAGAAACTATTTCGACAGACAAAGAACTCCCTACTACTTCTCCTGTAATAGAGGAGACACAAAGACCTACTGAAAAATTGTCAACCACCGAGGAGACCATTCAAGAAACGAAAGTACCAATCGAAGAACAACCAAAATATACAATCGAAACTACTTTTACTGAAGAGGAAGTAATTGAAGAAACTCCAAAAGTACCAACTGATATTGTCGAAGAGAAATCTGAAACAAAACCTACTGAACAGA